CGGAAGAATGTGCCAAAGGCAAGCTCTAGCTAGCTTCTCCTACTACCCACGTACTGATAGTGACAAACACTGTAGGACATACACATAGTCCACTATGACCTCCTACCCTGCACTTTCATGCTAGAAGTCTGGGTGGACTGATGGCAGCAAGCAGTAACAGAATTACTGGAAAACTTCCTATACCAGGATGGTTAGCGAGAACCTGACCACACACAAAATGACTATGAGTTTATTCATGACTCAGAGCTCATAAACCCAGACTAAATACATCCTCAATTAACTTTACTCTAGCCAGAACCCAGAAATGGTTGCAGTTTCCCATTCTGGGAAAACACAAGGGGACATCTGAGAGAAAGAGACAGTGACTTTAACTGATGATAGTGAAAATACATTATTATTGTAAGTTTTACAAAAACATCTGACCAAAAATGAATACACTGATAGAGTCTCTTTCAAGACTTTGGAAAGGGTTTGTGCAAATGAGAATCCCTGAAAGTTAAGTTTTTATTATCTTCATAACAAAATAGCTTTGATCTTCAACAGATATTTGTTAAATAAAGTAAGGAAGGAATGAGTAATATCTAAGTCTCAAACCCTAATCTCCAAAACACAGATACTAGGACTAGACAGTGGTGCAGTGGCAAAACGAGAAGTTCTGAAAAGCTGACCTGCATCAGAAGGTTATAGGTTTGCATTCTGGAAGCCTCCCTGATGCACACACATGCCTGTGATCTGCACCGGCAAAGATTGGGGGTAGATTGGGGTGTCAAGAGCCTATTAGAGGTAAGAACCTCTTTCTCTCTCTCTCTCTCTCTCTCTCTCTTTCTCTCTGTCCCTCTCTGTTTAACTTATGGAAGAAAAAAAATACTATGATGATTTTATTATACTACTGAATATGTTACAACCTTATGTGCTGGTAAAAGAAACTCCATATCAAAGAGCCATTGAGGACACTCTTAATATCCCCGTGTGTTAAGGGGCTATGCTGTGAAGAGTGTTTAGTGGTGGAGAGGACAGCAAATTAAAAACACTGATGGGGGCCAGCAGGAGGTACGGTGGTGAAAATGTTGGACTCCCACATGGTCACTGCAGTTCGAGCCCAGACCCGGTGGTTTGTTTTCTCATTTTTCCTTTCTCTTTTTCTTTCTGTTGCTCTGTGGTGAGCACTTGTGCCCTATGGCAAATTTTAAAATACTACTAGTAATAAGTAAAATAAATAGTTATTTAAAAAATAAAAATAAACACAGAAGAAATGATAAGGATAGTATTTTAAAGTAGAAAATAAGGGTCAGCAAGTGGTGTGTTGGTTAAAGTGCTGGACACTCAGATGGCTGACTACAGTTGGAGTCCTGGACCCAATGGCTTGAAAATCATGCTGGGCATTGGTGCATGTGTGCCCCAAATCCCCAGAGGAGAATGAAAGATTAAGGATTATGGGTAGCCACCACCCTGGGGGATAATTTCTCACTTTCCCTTTCTCCATCCTTCTCTAGGGAGCACACTCACCTTACGGCAAAATCATTAAAAGAAAGAAAAAGGCAGAGAGAAAGAAAGAAAGATAAAAAGAAAGGAAGAAGGAAGGAAGGAAAGATAGAGTTAGAAGAAAGAAGAAAGAAAATGAAAGAGAAAAATAAAAGAGAAGAAACAAAGAAAGAAGAAAGAAAGAAGAAAAAAGGAGAAAGAAAAAGAAAAAGGAGAAGAAAAAAGGAAAGAATTAGAAGAAAGAAAAAGAAAGAGGTAGAAGGAGGAAGAAAAGAAAGAAAGAGAAAGAAAAAAGAAAGAGAAGAAAGAAAACCAAAAGAGAGAGAGAGAAGGAAGAAGGGAAGGAGAGAGGGGAAGAAGGAAGGGAGAGAGGGGAGGGAGGGAGAGAAGGAGGAAAAGAGAAAGAAAGAGAAGAAAGAAAAAGAGAAAGAAAGAAAGGAAGGAAGGAAGAAAAGAAGGAAGAAAGGAAAGAAGGAAAAGAAAGAAGAAAGGAAAGAAGGAAAAGAAAGAAAAGAAAACGCTGTTCATTTCTCTGGCACTGCTGGAACCAGAGACCAGTAGTTGAATGAATGTGTACGTCTGGGCAAGTTACTTTACCTCTCAAAGCCCTGCTTTCTTCATCTAAAAAAGTCTGGTCCAGGAACCAGCAAATGGCTTAATAGTTACATTTCTGGGTTCCCACATGATTGACCGTGGTTCAAGTCCTAGACCCAGCAGCTTGAAACTCACGCAATGCACGTGTGTCTGTGTGCTTGAAATTCTGAGAGGAGATCAGAGAAGGGAATGGGGCATGGCCAACGCCCTGATGGGTGACATCTTGCTTTCTGTGTGTGTGTGTGTGTGTGTGTGTGTGTCTAGTGAGTACACGTGTCCTATAGCAAAAATCTCTCTAAAAAAATAATAAATAAAATAAAAGGCTTGTCCACAGAGTGTAGTCAATAAATGGTAGCCACCGTTGGTACTGCCGTTGCTGTAATGAGAAGCTTACTCTGAGACATGCATTGATTGCTCAAGTCAACTTTCTGTCTCTTTTCTGTTAACAAATCTTGACATGCCTTTGTCTTTGCACCATGCCCCAGAACAAACAAGGAAGAGAAGCACATATCTGGTGTTCCTTCATGCCTGGTACGTCTGAGCACTGAGAGTAGGTAGGACCTCTCACACATCAGGAAATCAGCCATTAAGTCATGGCTTTCACTGTTTCTGCTTTCATGTTCCAATGTTTGTTTTAACTAAGAGCTTTGTCTGAAGCCAACCAAACGCCTAACTGTCTGCCCTGGCTTAGTCCTTCATCCATCGTTAACTTTTCCAAGAAGTTAGATGGATACAAGAAGAGGAGGTAAAACTTTTTTTCTCAACTAAAACATTTTTTTTCCTTCACACTACATTAAAAATAATTGTTTGATTATTTATTTATTTATTTTTGTCATAGGGAGTGTGCACTTGCTGGAAAGAGACAAAAAGAGAGGAAAAGTGAAAAATCACCCACCAGGGGAGGTGTCCATACCACAGCCCCTTCTCCTCTAGTCTCTTCTTGGGATTTGGGGCAGGCAAGTACAGGTGCCTGGTATGTTTTTTCAAGTTACCAGGTCTGGGACTCAAACCACAGAAGCAGCCATGTGGGATCTAGCACCTTGACCACCATGCCAACTACTGACCCCATTAGAAAGGATTTTTAAACTGTAGGATTAATGAGCTTCCACTAGACAGAACCCACTTAATGAACAACATCTAATTGAGCAGTCCCTGCTAGCTACATCCTCGACCTTAAGTTTTAGAAAGGGAAATGGAATTGAAGTTTCATGTGACAGGAAGAATATCTACAATCACTGACAAAATAGTATAAAAATGAACAAAAAAGATGCCCCATTAGAGTCAATGATAATCTTTGTGAATTACATTTGATAGCTAAAAGTCTATTTTAAACTAATTGGACTTGAAGCTTTTTATTCATTTTTGTCTTGTGATGGAAAAATCCCAAGTTCATGCAGCTGGGACATTTTTCAGTGGCTACTGCAATGGTAAAGAAGGCAAATTACCCTTCAGATGTGGGAGTTATGATCATCGGCAATGAAAGACGAATCCCTCTATTCTGCCATTATTAGATTGAAATTTCTCCCAGCACAAATAGAGATCTTACTGTAATGGTGTAAATACACACAGACCTGTTTAGAAAGGGACTTAGGGTGTCCAATTTGAGTGATATGAAGATTTAATAAGAATACAAAGAAAGTCTGTGGAAAACAGGAATATATACTAATAAAATAGCCTCTGAAATGTATAAGGAAATTATTCCAATTGTGTTAACTTTGTGCACTATTAATTTTAAATGGAAATAATATTTTCCTTTGGAATGTTTGACCTCCACATGTCAAGTCTCTATTTTATTTTTTAATTTCATATTCATGATAGTAAGTACATACACACACAAAAGAGAGGGAGAAAAGAACCCTTTCGTCACAACTTGATCTCCTTCCTCCAGTCCTCTAGCTTGTCAGGATTCTGGGTAAGTACATGAAGGCAGCTCAGGGCATTTTGAGTCGAGCAGGCCAGGAACCAGAGCTGGCAGTCATGTGGCTTCCAGCCCAGCAGTCCATTTGCTATCAGCTGTGTCATCTAGACTGGGCCTCATCTCTAATCTTCTCATTTGCCTTTATGCCCAATTGCTAGTCTATAACCATGCAGGGACTATTTGGTACTGACAGTTGCAATGTTCAATTTCAAGGCAAGTTTTTTTTTTTTTTTTTTCCCTAGATGCAGTTTTTCAGTTCTAGACAATTTTGTGATCAACTTTGATCTTAATTATACACTTTTTAAAAATCAATGAAAAGTTATTACTTCCTTTTCCTGATGTAGTATCCAAATTAGTTGGACATAGTCTTATCTAATTTTATGTGTTTTTTTCTTTCCAGTGATATTGATTGCTCCATTTTTCTCACTTCTCCCTGTGAAATCTCATGGGAATGGGAGGAGAAGCAGTTTATTTGTTAAATGAACCCCATAGCAGATGAAATGAGTTTATACTTCTTTCTAGAGCCTTTCCTGCCAGGATTTAAGACATTCTTTAGTACCAAAGCATCACAAATGCCAATAATGCATTTCAGATTAAACAAATTCTAAGACCAAGGATGACAACACTAAGAATAGACTTGCTTGCCATTCTATACCATTGTTTATCCTGAACTTTGGATCTTACTTCTCAATAGACTTTTCAAAGATGCTGCAAAGTTAGAAAAGATTATTACAATGGTTTATTTTTACTGTCCACATCGTAGGCTCACAATCTAAAATCATAAAGCTGTATCTACTATCATATCCTGAGGATATTTAAATTGTCTTATGTGGCTAGATCATCTTTCTCACAGATTATACTTTCTTAAATAGTCTATAAATTATTCCTCAAAGGACAAGACTAATATTTAAAAGAACTGTCTCTGAAATTATGAATAGCTCTGTGTTAAAGGGAGCAGATCTTCTCCCTGTTCTTCTAAGTACAGTTTCCATACATGCTAACAATTTAAGAATTTGTATTTTACAGGGATTAAAAAAAATCAATAATCGCATTTCTGGGAAGTTAGGCCATGGCTGAATGCACTGGCCCATAGCAGAGATTTCTTTTTATAAAAAAGTTTTTATTTAAATGTATTTATTTACATTCATTCACTATACATCATTACAACATACAAAATGAGATTTCCCATCCAGAATGCACTGTATATTGCCTCAATCAAGCACATCAACATACGTGTTATCGTCAAATAATTTTCCATTTCTTGTTTCCTGTATATTTTGCTTTTTTTTTGTCATTCTTGATTCCCTTTCACCCTCTGCATGTCCCACCCTCCTTCCACACTGTCTGTGGTATCCATGGTTGCTTTCTATGCCTTTTCTCCCCATTTTATTGATTCGCTAATGAACTTAATCTAAATATTTGCAATAGCAAGCACAGCTGATATATACATATCCATGAACACAAGTCTAACTTCAGGCATAAACCTCAGTGAGTAGAATGAACATACTATAAAGTAGCAACTAGCTGGGACTATATAGCTTACTGCAGTCATCAAATAGGCATTGCTTTTAATTTCAAGAAAAAAAAAATTTCAAGAAAAAAAAATGTTTTCATGTTTTTTTCTCCTGAAACTCTTTTTAAAAAAAAATAAATTAATTAATTTACATTCATCACCTGAGCATCATCACAGCATACAAAATGTGGTTTCCCATCCAGAATATACTGCATAGTGGCTTAATCATGCATGCTATCATCAATAATTTTCCTTTCTGGATCAGCAGTTAGCATAATGGCTATGTTGCTAGACTCCCATGTAGTCGACCACAGTTCGCGTCCTGGACCCGGTGGCTTAAAACTCATGCCAGGTGCGTGTGCGTGCATGCCCAAGATCTCAAGAGGAGAATGGAGGAGAAGGGATTGTGGCATGGCCATCATCCCTGGGGGGTGACTTCTCGCTTTCTATCTCTGTCTCTCTCTATCTATCTGATGAGCGCACATGCCCTATAGCAAAAACTGCTCCAAAAATTTTTTTTTTAATTTTTCTTTCTAGTTTCATATATACATATATATATGTGTATATATATATATGAACATATATATATACATATATATGTATATATATATGAAGAAGCACTGTCATAGCCTGGTGGTTAAGGGAAGCCAGATCCCACGTGACTGACCACAGTTTGAATACCAGCCCTGGTGACTTGAGAAATATGGCATGTACATGTGCATGCATGCCCCAAACTCCTACAGGATAGAGAAGTGGAAGAGAAAGGATTTCCGCATCAGCATACTCTATTGGAGGATGCTTTATCCCTCTCCTTCTTTCTGTCTCTCTGCCTCTCTTTGATGAATGCATACACCCTCCAGCAACTTTTTAAACTTTAAATTTCAGATGAACAATGAATAATTATTGACTGTAGTGTATCCCATGATATATATACCCACACCAAAAATGAATTTATTATTTACTGAAATTCAAATGAAGTAGATATATTTCATTTGCAAATCTGTTAGCCCTATTGAACTCCCTTAACCTAAAGATTCATATACCATCAATATTCAGAAATATTATGCAACTATC